CATCATCATCATCAGCATCATCATCAGCATCATTAAGAAGGTCTGAATAGAGCTCCAAACTGGAATCGCAAACTTGTGAATCATGATATGAGAGTAAATGTGCAGCCCTAACATGGACGTCGCTGAGTACTGACCGCGTGCAGAGCTCTCCCGTGAGTCCGGTGACCCGCTGCTCTCCGGCTCATTCTCCACGATCACGAGCGGCCCCAGGACTTTATGTGCCGACACGCCTGTGGAGAAAGTGAGGTTGTTAATGCTGAGGTCCGGGTCCAGAAGAGAGGCTGGTGCTGACAGGGCCGCGTACCGTCGATCATGAGGCCAGACCTCGGGCAGGTGGAGTCGCAGCAGGCACAGGCGTAGCTCTGGGACGGCTCATCCAGGAGCGTCCATCTAAAACACAACGCCATCTATACATCATAAAAGTGCATCTGTCCATCATAAAAGTGCATCTGTCCATCATAAAAGTGCATCTGTCCATCATAAAAGTGCATCTATCCATCATAAAAGTGCATCTGTCCATCAAAGCGCATCTATCCATCATAAAAGTGCATCTGTCCATCATAAAAGTGCATCTGTCCATCATAAAAGTGCATCTATCCATCATAAAAGTGCATCTATACATCATAAAAGTGCATCTGTCCATCATAAAAGTGCATCTGTCCATCATAAAAGTGCATCTGTCCATCAAAGCGCATCTATCCATCATAAAAGTGCATCTGTCCATCATAAAAGTGCATCTGTCCATCATAAAAGTGCATCTGTCCATCATAAAAGTGCATCTGTCCATCATAAAAGTGCATCCGTCCATCATAAAAGTGAATCCATCCGTCATAAAAGTGCATCCATCCGTCATAAAAGTGCATCCATCCGTCATAATAGTGCATCTATCCATCATAAAAGTGCATCTCTCCATCATAAAAGAGCATCTATCCATCATAAAAGTGCATCTATCCATCATAAAAGTGCATCTGTCCATCATAAAAGTGCATCTATCCATCATAAAAGTGCATCTATCCATCATAAAAGTGCATCTGTCCATCATAAAAGTGCATCTGTCCATCATAAAAGTGCATCTGTCCATCATAAAAGTCATCTATCCATCATAAAAGTGCATCTGTCCATCATAAAAGTGCATCTGTCCATCATAAAAGTGCATCTGTCCATCATAAAAGTGCATCTGTCCATCATAAAAGTGCATCTGTCCATCATAAAAGTGCATCTATCCATCATAAAAGTGCATCTGTCCATCATAAAAGTGCATCTGTCCATCATAAAAGTGCATCTGTCCATCATAAAAGTGCATCTGTCCATCATAAAAGTCATCTATCCATCATAAAAGTGCATCTGTCCATCATAAAAGTGCATCTGTCCATCATAAAAGTGCATCTGTCCATCATAAAAGTGCATCTGTCCATCATAAAAGTGCATCTGTCCATCATAAAAGTGCATCTGTCCATCATAAAAGTCATCTATCCATCATAAAAGTGCATCTGTCCATCATAAAAGTGCATCTATCCATCATAAAAGTGCATCTGTCCATCATAAAAGTGCATCTGTCCATCATAAAAGTGCATCTGTCCATCATAAAAGTGCATCTGTCCATCATAAAAGTAAGTGTGTGCCACTTTTATGAACTTCAAAACAGAAACGGCCATTCACTGCCATTATTAAGCTTGGAAGAACTACAATTTTTCTATAACTCTGTGTTCGTCTGAAAGAAGAGTGTCATATACACCTAGGATGAGTTGAGGGCGAGTAAATCATGGGCTAGTTTTTATTTTTAGGTGAGCTATCGCTTTGAGTGTGTGTGAAGGACCTGCGCTTCTGCGGCACGTAGTGACAGGCCTTCCGGTCCACATTCGAGCTCCGGACGACACCAGCTTCCAGATCACAGTGCAGGAAAATCTGCCCACAGAAACAGAGACTGAGATGGACATCCAGCAAGACGAGCTCAGGCCGAAGCCGCCGCTCACCTCCTCTCCCACAGCGAAGCGGACGGCTCCGAGAGACAGGAGCACCTCGTCCGAGCGCCGGCGCGGCAGAAAGCTGGAGTTCCCCGATTTACTCTCCATCAGACACCTGAGACGGAGTCACACATCGGGTTACATCCACAGCCGTCTAATGGACTTTTCTGCTATTTCTTTAAAGTCCATGAAATCAAAATAGAAATTTTGTGGAATATTGCAGTGTTTATCCTAAATGATTTAGTTTTAATAATCTCGGTGCAGAATTACTCTTGCAGCATCTCTCCAGAAAACAAGTGTGTGTTTAAAAGATGTCTAATAGCAGTCCAAACACGGCCTGAGGTCTAGGCTAGTCAAACAAGGCAAAGATTGGGCTTTTAACAGACGTCTAGATCAGCCCAAGAATACACCAGTCGTCAGATACAGAAATGAAATGAGTGAATGAAACCAAACTCTTCGTAATCACGGTTGACTTCACGGACATGATGGAATAAACATCTCACAAGTTATTTTGGCATGCAGTGTGTTACTCATAGACTAGATCGGCTCTGTGAGATGACTGCTTTCTGGGTCTCTGATGACGAGGGCGGGGCAACCTGTCAATCACACGAGATCAGCCAATAGCAAACCAGCGTCCAGTGGCCTCTTACCCAGCGTTGGCGATGATGGGATACACCTTTGTGGCGCGGCGCATGTCGGCGTCTGTGGCGAACTCACAGCTCTTCATGTAGATCCTCAGCGATGTGCGGCTCCCCGGCTCCAGCGTGGCTCTGATGGGGATACTGGAACCCAGTCTGAACCTCAGAGACGGGGCAGGACCACTGAAATCATCTGCAGAATCACCAGTCTGATCAGAGTCGTGCAGAAACACCATCATCATACTCATCAGATCATCATCATGTCAGTCTCGTGCGTGTCCGTACCCATCGGACAGCTGATCTTCAATATAAAGCGCTATATTCAGCTTACATGTGTGTGGTTGTTAATGTAAGAACCACATGAAAACGCATTTGTTGCCCTTTTTACTTTTTATACAGTGACATTTGAGTGAAACCATGCAAGCCCATTTCTGCCACACAAGCTAATATTTACGTTTTTATCAGGATTAACCAATGCATGATTTAGGCCAGTTATGCCTATTACTTTTATCTATTTTTTTAATCAACTTAATCTCAATTGTGACTATTTTCATGATTTCAAGACTTTTTAAATCTCAATTATGAACGTCACTTTAGACTTGCCATATTATCAACTGAGTCTGTCAACGATTTCAATTTTATTATGACTATCAATTTCAAATTTTTTATATAATAACTTAGTCATGCAAGTGAACGGCCAGAAAACAAAGTTTCCGTGTTCGGTTAGAGTGGTGTCATGCTAGCGGCCCCTAAGCTAATAACTAATGATCTTTACAACAGAAGTTATTGGGTTTGATTGATTATCAAACTAACTTTATCTGGACAATAACTTTATTCCAGATCTGCTGTAAAGCCTAAACACTCTCTGTGACTGTAATCTCCTGTTATCACTGTAAGCTGCTTTAAAACAGCGTATATTGTTAAAGCTCTGTGTAAATTAAGGTTCACTTGGTATGATTTACCCAAGTAAAGTTTTGCTTTGTGGTGTAAATGGGTTTCCAGATCAACAAGATAATCAAAACAAAAGCAGAACAGAGTCAACTTAATCCATTTCAGAAGAGGATAAGTCATTATTTGAATGAAAGTCTAAACAAACTGAGCCGGGAATGTGTGCTGAAGATAATGAGGGAGTTTGACTGACGGTTCATGATCTCCATGTTGAAGGTCTCCTCTTTTCGGTTCTCGTCCGGTTCCTCGGCTCTGAACTCGCTCTCCTCGCCTATAGGCCTGAGCCAAACAAGCCAAAGACTTACACCACACCTCACATTCACCCCAAACTCACCACTGGCTCCGGATACCTACGAGTCATAGACGCACTTCACCAACTGGGTAACTATGGGGAGTTCGGGGCGCCGCGCGTAGATCAGCATGTTGGAGTACGTGACTCGGCCCTCCATCACCTTCAACACAGCGGAAGAGAGTCAGGCGGGAGACTGATCTGGGTTTGCTCTGGATCAGCGCCGTACCTGCTGGATGAAGCCACAGTCACGGACCAGCACACGGAAGAGCAGTGTGTCCTCGGACATCAGGGAGCTCGGCGGACAGGTTCCCAGAAGAGCTTTGGACTGATCCAGCGTCTGGGAGAATCCCAGTCCGGGTCTCCAGTGCACCGTGACCCAACCATCACTGCCACAGTCTACAGACAAATCTGAAACACACCACTCCAGTTAACAGATACACCATCATTCCCATCAACATGAAGGAGGAATGAGTTGAGAACGCACCCCTCTGTGCCACTGCAGAGCCCACACACACCAACAACAACAACAATCCCGAAATCATCTTCAGCCAAACAGAAACACCAGCACCTCTCGTCCTTTAGTGGAGCTGATGCTAATCGAGTCAACCGCTGACAGCTGAGCGCTAACTAATCGAGTCAACCGCTGACAGCTGAGCGCTAACTAATCGAGTCAACCGCTGACAGCTGAGCGCTAACTAATCGAGTCAACCGCTGTCAGCTGAGCGCTAACTAATCGAGTCAACCGCAGTCAGCTGAGCGCTAACTAATCGAGTCAACCGCTGTCAGCTGAGCGCTAACTAATCGAGTCAACCGCAGTCAGCTGAGCGCTAACTAATCGAGTCAACCGCTGTCAGCTGAGCGCTAACTAATCGAGTCAACCGCAGTCAGCTGAGCGCTAACTAATCGAGTCAACCGCTGTTAGCTGAGCGCTAACTAATCGAGTCACTCACCTATAGATTCATATTAAGTCTGTCTGTCGTGTGTTGAGATATGAAAACACTTCAATAGAACAATGTGATGTTTTACTACGAGGTTCACTTAAACACAGTAAACTTCCTCAGACCCTTAAACACCAACATCCGGGTGAAAAACTCAAACCCGCAGAACACTGAGTCTTGTGAAGAAGTGGGAAGGAATCGGACTGAGAAATAAACAGACTTGTACTTGAAAATATGTTTATTTTGTAATGCCATATTTTGTGTTCCTGCAGAACCGTCAGAACTGAACTTGCATAGGCTTGATGAGAAACGGCACCTCATGACAGATCATCAGATATTACACAGTAAAATACATTTATTTTATATTACAGAACTCAGAAACTCTGCTTCACTAGTTTATCATTTGCACAGTTTTGAAACATACATTACTAGATTCTTCCACCGTTCACCACTAACATAATGACTTTAAAAAGCTGTAATTCAATCCATGCAATAAAACAAAAACAAAATTACTGGAAAGTAAGACACATGCAAATTAAGGTCTTTGAGAGTTTGGATTTGAAGGTCACAGTTTATAGTTAACACGATACACTTTTCTGCTCTTGATCAAAGACCAGCACCAGTCTTGGGGGTCGGGGGTCAGGGGTCAGTGCTGTGACGAGGCTCATTCAGGTTTTTCTCCTTTACTGTAGAGTTTCCGCAGGCTGGAGTCCAAAAGGAAATCAACAGACCTGATGACCAACAGACTGACATCAAAACACTTAAGGAAGGAAGACACACACACACACACCGACTCACTCACTAACCCACCGACTCACTCACTAACCCACCGACTCACTCACCCACCCACCGACTCACTCACTCACCCACCGACTCACTCACCCACCCACCCACCGACTCACTCACCCACCCACCGACTCACTCACTCACCCACCGACTCACCCACCCACCGACTCACTCACTCACCCACCGACTCACTCACCCACCCACCGATTCACTCACCCACCCACCGACTCACTCACCCACCCACCGACTCACTCACCCACCCACCGACTCACTCACTCACCCACCCACTCACTCACTCACCCACCGACTCACCCACCGACTCACTCACTCACCCACCGACTCACTCACCCACCCACCGACTCACTCACCCACTCACCGACTCACTCACTCACCCACCGACTCACTCACTCACCCACCGACTCACTCACCCACCCACCGACTCACTCACCCACCCACCGACTCACTCACCCACCCACCCACTCACTCACCCACCGACTCACTCACCCACCCACCGACTCACTCACCCACCCACCGACTCACTCACTCACCCACCGACTCACTCACCCACCCACCGACTCACTCACCCACCCACCGACTCACTCACCCACCCACCGACTCACTCACCCACCCACCGACTCACTCACCCACCCACCGACTCACTCACTCACCCACCGACTCACTCACTCACCCACCGACTCACCCACCCACCGACCCACTCACTCACCCACCGACCCACTCACTCACCCACCCACCGACTCACCCACCCACCGACTCACTCACCCACCGACTCACTCACCCACCGACTCACTCACTCACCCACCCACCGACTCACCCACCCACCGACTCACCCACCCACCGACTCACCCACCCACCGACTCACTCACCCACCGACTCACTCACCCACCGACTCACTCACTCACCCACCGACCGACTCACTCACCCACCGACTCACTCACTCACCCACCGACTCACTCACCCACCCACCGACTCACTCACCCACCCACCGACTCACTCACCCACCCACCGACTCACTCACCCACCCACCGACTCACTCACCCACCCACCGACCCACTCACTCACCCACCGACTCACTCACCCACCGACTCACTCACTCACCCACCGACTCACTCACTCACCCACCGACTCACTCACTCACCCACCGACTCACTCACTCACCCACCGACTCACTCACTCACCCACCGACTCACTCACCCACCCACCGACTCACTCACCCACCCACCGACTCACTCACCCACCCACCGACTCACTCACCCACCCACCGACTCACTCACCCACCCACCGACTCACTCACCCACCCACCGACTCACTCACCCACCCACCGACTCACTCACCCACCCACCGACTCACTCACCCACCCACCGACTCACTCACCCACCCACCGACTCACTCACAGACCGACTCACTCACCCACCCACCGACTCACTCACCCACCCACCGACTCACCCACCCACCGACTCACTCACTCACCCACCGACCGACTCACTCACCCACCGACTCACTCACTCACCGACTCACTCACCCACCGACCGACTCACTCACCCACCGACTCACTCACTCACTCACCCACCGACTCACTGACTCACTCACCCACCGACTCACTCACTCACTCACCCACCGACTCACTCACCCACTCACTCACCGACCAACTGACCTCGCCCACCAACTCGACTCACTCACCCACCGATTCATCCACTGACTCACTCACTCACCAACTCACCCACTTACTCAACCACCGACTCACTCACTCACCGACCAACTCACCCATAGACTCACTCATTGACTCACCCACCCACCAACTTACCCACTTGCCCGCCCACTCACTCACTCACTCGCCCAACCACCTAATTCACTCACTCACTCACTCGCCCACCCAATCACTCAATGACTCACTCACTCACACACACACACCTGTCGATGGGCTTGATGATGAAGGGGATGGTGGAGAGGCCGATGGCAGTGGTGGTCCACTTGCGCACAGGAAGTGGCCAGCGTGTGGTTTTCGCCAGCAGGAAGAGAGACGCGGCACACACACGGTTGATGGTGAACCCCGGGATCGCCACTGAAGCCAGAGCCTGCCATATGAAGGTGTCGACCACAGCCACGCCCACACGAGCCGCCTTCCCAGCATCCTCGGCATGAGCCTGCACACACGCCCAGGCATACGTGTTTTACAGCACTTTCCCAAACACACTCTTGTTCAAGGCAAAATCATGGCGGTAATGTTCAGAATATTAGAGAATGTCAGCGGGACATTTGCATTCTTCCCCATCACATATTTTAAAAATCATCCTAAATTACGTATCCAATCAAAAGCTTAAAATTCATCCTGTGAAAACTGTTAAAATTTTACACTATTGCGTTGCTATGGAAATGGTACTTTAAAAACCTTTCAGCAGGCTCCTCCCCCTAGTGGGCGGGGTCATATGACAAAACTTTCTGCACCTTTAAATTATCAAATTTTAATAATTAGATCTTAACAAAACAGAAATTTTGGAAAAAGCTCTGAGAAGGAAAGCTCCATTTTTAGCGCTGTTGTGTGATTGAAGTGATATGAAATGTATAAATAAGTGATCACTGAATAAAGATCAGTGTGTGTCACCCGGTGGCTGTTTTTGGTTCAACGCCTAAAAAAAAAAAGAGTCTCACATGAACCAACATTTTAGTGATTTGAACTCCAGGAACTCTGCCGTGAGTATACCAGGGCTTTACACTCACCGCCGCTGCCTTCTTGCCTTTATCCAGCGCGTCGGCGGACACGTATGCAGTGGCCACGGCATAACTGGCCCACACGGCGCTGACGGGCACCAGCGCGCGGAACGCCTCACCAACCTCGTTAGCATAGCCTGCAGACAAACCACACACTGTAAAAACACTGGGCGTAGTGTGCGTGACGTCACCCGTAGTGTTTTTGAAGAGTGTTTCTGAAGCCCAAAGTAGGCGGAGCCGGCCATCTCCATCTTGGCCACACGTCAATCCCGGATAAACAAAATTGGGCAAAGACGCGGATTAGCTGAGGTGGAGTGATGCTAAAGCTAGCAGACAAATGTCTAGTAGTGACATCAGCAATACACCTGTCACTCAAGTGGCGACGCCCTTAATTTTGCAGAAGGCTTAATGCTTTAAGGCTTAATATAATTTAAACGGATAAGTTATAAAAACATTCCCCCCCTCACAGTCGCCATGAAGGGCAACATTAGCGATATAGACCGAAACTACTTTTAGACCAGACTGTAAACATGTTTATTTCTGCTGTAAAGTTGGGCATTTTAACATGCGGGTCTATGGGAGTGAGTGTCTTCTGCAGCGCCTCTAGTGGCCAGAGGAGGAACTGCAGGTTAAGGCACTCCATCAACAGACACACACACACCAACACACACGCACACACACACACACACACACACACACTGTGAAGAAACTTCAGCATTTACAGCTTCATCATAATGCTTCTTGAGGACAGAATTTCTTTTCAAATGGTCAATTTTTTCTAAGTGTGAAAATATTGAATCATGTGCAGCTTAAAAGCATAAAATGCAATTAGCTGTACAAATACACAGGTCATTTTATCGCAGAAAAGTTTAAAATTACCAACATACAATGTTATTACACACATAAATAATTTGAGATGTGATGGAAATGACGCTTATAATAATACCACCAACATTCATTATATTCATAATAATATATATTTTTTCAATAAAGGATTTAGTGTTAACAGGACCAAAAGTAACATGAATATGACTTTGGTAAATCATAATTATTTCATAAGTAAGTCATGTTATGTGGCAGAAATGGGCTTCAATGCAGTTCAAAAACATTAATAAATCAAACTATTATTATGATAATCAATAAGATGCAAAAATGCAGGATCAGTGTGTTCAGATCGTGTGAATTACTCAAACACACACAGACTAGCCTAACCTGACTAACCCGCACACCGGAACTGGCTCTGGAGGTCAGACTAACTTTCACTCACCGAGAAATCTGACCCACGTGTCTCGGTAAATATCCACTTGTTTCTCGGGCGAGTGCTCCATACTGACCCGTGTGTGTGTGTGTGTGATATCTGAGGCACGACTCGGTCAGATCAGAGATGTTGAGATCTGATGTTCTTCACACACACTCAGGCGCGCCATACTCGACCTCAGGTTCTCAGGCACCGTCTGCAAACCACACACACTTTACATTATTCATTCATGTTTCTTTTGTGAGTTGCAGTCAAAGTCAGAGTTCATTTACTATTTACATAAATCACATGAGAGTTTAATTCTGGAAATAATTACTATCACTTGATGATAATCTGTCCGTTTCACTGATTGGACAGAGTCTTGTATGTTAAAGTGTGTAAGTGATTATGTAGCAAACATTTTCCTTAACATTACCTCGCTAAGATAATGCGTGTTATTCGCATTTAAACATAACATTATAATGGGTCAAATAAATGTTTGGTGTTGTTTTCCGTTTCCTCGTGGCTTTTTTAAGTGTAATTTTACGACAGTCCTTTAACCATTCCTACGTAATACTCCGGAAGTGAGGCGGCTCGACAACGTCGTTATAATAATAATATTATATAATTATATAATAATAATTTATTGCATAAAATTATAATAATAATAATAATAGAATCACGTTAGTGATGACTTACAAAATTATAGATTAGGTTATATATACCTCAATTTTTTTGAGGCGTGCTCATAAAACAAAAAAACACTTATTCCATGGACTAGAAAATGTTGTTAAATGTAAAGAGTAACTACTCTAAACGTCAAATTACCGTTTTGGTAAATCTTTTATGATCACAAATCTCCGGTCCCGTTGCTGATGTGTGGGAGGGCTGATGTATGATTGACAGGCGAGAGAGCCAATCGCTAGGCGTCGCTTAAGAGCTGCAGCTAATCAGGTGACAGCGTGAGGCGACAGCAGGACTCGATGAGCGCGAGCGTGAGTCCAGCGACGCGTTTGAAAATCGTTGAATTTAAACAATGATTTCAAGATCGTCGCTGGTTTTATTTGCAGTTTTCTGCTTTGGTTTATGCGATGATGGCCATGAAATGGAAGAGTTTTTAAAGAGAGAGTACTCCCTGTCCAAACCTTACCAGGGTAAGAGACAGACATGATTATGCACGCGCTTTTGCTCTTATTATAATAGCAATAATAATGCGAAGGATCAATATTTCACAGGAAGCCGTGTGCGTGTTCAGATTTCAGCTGCTGTTATTGTCTGTTTGCGTTGAATACATCGGGCGGTCCATCAGAGCTATTATCATTATCCATTTACTTTTTGCAAAAAATGAATAAATTATAATTTAAAAAAAAAAAATTGTAACATATAACATGCGTGCAAAGTTGATTAATGCAAATAATTAGAAATTAACACAACTCCTCTGAGCTCGAACTGAACTCAGTCTTATGGAGGTCCCGCCCTTTTGGGGGTTTAGCTCAATAAGACACACAAGGAGAACACAAAAAGTACACACAGGTTTTAAATATTTCTGCTTTAAACTGTTTTTAATAATTATTTATTTATTTGTAGTCCTACTTTACATTGTATGTGACATTTTCAAATTTTCATATCATGATAATTGATGAAGATTTGATCATGGTCTCACATTGAATTAGGTTAGAATAGTGTTGTCCTAACAGGTTTAATAACTTCTTTCTTAAAAAAAAATCAGATTAAAGTGCATAAAATAATAAAGAACAATAGGTAACACTTTACAATTAGGTCACATTAGTTTTGAGAGATAGATAGAGAGAGAGAGAGAGAGAGAGAGGGAGAGAGATTGCTCAGGTGTGGGCGTCTCGGGCTCCTCTGACTGGGAGTTAATGGGAGATGCTCTGATGTGTGTGTGTGTGTGTGTGTGTGTGTGTGCAGGTGTGGGCGTCTCGGGCTCGTCTCATTGGGAGTTGATGGGAGATGCTCTGATCACTACGGATCATGTTCGTCTCACTCCAGATCAGCAGAGCAAACAGGGAGCCATATGGAGCCGAATGGTGAGTCGCTTCATTCCTGATGATCTCTCACTAGTGTTCATGATCCCTCACTAGTGTTCACTACATGACCGATGATCCCTCACTAGTGTTCATGATCCCTCACTAGTGTTCACTACATGACCGATGATCCCTCACTAGTGTTCACTACAGGCTGATGATCCCTCACTAGTGTTCACTACATGACTGATGATCCCTCACTAGTGTTCACTACATGACTGATGATCCCTCACTAGTGTTCACTACATGACCGATGATCCCTCACTAGTGTTCCCTACAGGCTGATGATCCCTCACTAGTGTTCACTACAGGCTGATGATCCCTCACTAGTGTTCCCTACATGACTGATGATCCCTCACTAGTGTTCACTACATGGCTGATGATCCCTCACTAGTGTTCACTACAGGCTGATGATCCCTCACTAGTGTTCACTACAGGCTGATGATCCCTCACTAGTGTTCACTACATGACTGATGATCCCTCACTAGTGTTCACCACATGACTGATGATCCCTCACTAGTGTTCACTACAGGCTGATGATCCCTCACTAGTGTTCACTACAGGCTGATGATCCCTCACTAGTGTTCACTACAGGCTGATGATCCCTCACTAGTGTTCACTACAGGCTGATGATCCCTCACTAGTGTTCACCACATGACTGATGATCCCTCACTAGTGTTCACTACATGACTAAAAATTAAAATTTTACTGAAATAGTAAATTGAAATAGTTTAATTTAATTTTACATTTTAAATGTGTATCTGTGTGTATCTGTGTGTGTGTGCGCAGCCATGTCACCTGAGGGATTGGGAACTACAGGTTCACTTTAAGGTTCACGGTCGAGGGAAGAAGAATCTGAACGGTGACGGTCTGGCGGTCTGGTACACGAAGGAGCGCATGAGGAAAGGTCTAATAGCTGATATTGTTTATTAACTGCATTAATAATTGATATCCGTCACTCACTGGTCAGGGTTTAGATGGTAATGGTCTCTCGCTGATTGCAGGTCCAGTGTTCGGGAACCGGGATTTCTTCACTGGACTCGGTGTGTTTGTGGACACGTATCCCAACGAGGAGAAACTTCTGGAGGTACAGGAATAAAGTGTGTGTTATCAGTGACGTTACAGGATCTGTGTGTGGGACTGGGATCAGATCTTCATAAATGCTGGATCGTGAGGTGCGGGTTCTGTGCGAGCCGGTCCAGTTCTTCCACAGCGGACTCGTGTCTTCATGGACCTCACTGCTGCATTAGTCATGCTGGAATAGAAGACGACCTTCAACAAACAGTCCCGCACCAGTATCCCAGTAGACATCACTGAGCGCTTCACTAGCTCGACCCCTGACCAGTCCCGCACCAGTATCCCAGCAGACATCACTGAGCGCTTCACTATCCCGACCCCTGACCAGTCCCGCACCAGTATCCCAGCAGACCGAAGTGATCGCTCACAGTGTTTGTGTTTGTGTGTTTTTAGGCTCAGAGGAAGCGATACACGCCACGCACGCAGGTAATCTAGCGTCCGCTAATCATGCTCAGTGATGGTCATGTGACTCTGTACGCCTGTGACGGACTGATCTCCTGTGTTTGTGCTAGCGTATCTTCCCGTACGTGCTAGCTATGGTAGGCAACGGCTCGATCAGCTACGACCACGATCGGGACGGGCGGCCCTCAGAACTGGGCGGCTGCAGCGCGACGGTGCGAAACCTGAAGCACGACAGCTTTCTGTTCATCCGATACGTGCGCCGCAGACTCACGGTGAGTGTGTGTGTGTGTGTGTGTGCGCCGCAGACTCACGGTGAGATCGAGCTGACGTGTGTGTGTGTGTGTGTGTGTGTGTGCAGATCATGCTGGATATCGACGGGCAGCACGAGTGGAGAGATTGCCTGGATGTTCCCGGGGTCCGTCTGCCGCAGGGCTTCTACTTCGGAGCGTCAGCCGTCACTGGAGATCTGTCAGGTGAGACCGGCCGCGTCTCTCAGGGGTCAACACTGACTGACTCAAACTGCAGTTCCTCCACTGGCCACTAGAGGCGCTGCAGAAGAGACTCAACCCCATAGACCCGCATGTTAAACTGCCGAAGCGCTGGTGACGAACGTAACTGTGGTTCTCTGTCTAAGAGGCCGTGCTGCATTAACGTTGGAACAGCCGGCATTAAACATTTGAATTGTTTATTAATAAACTAGTATGTTCTGTCAGTTTTCGGTTGATTTATGAGACGCTCTAGTTCACGCGCCGGCGCCTCTGTTTCCTAATTATATTGTCTACTATATTTGCTTGCGTTTACATTTACATGTTTATTAATCCAGTCGATTTGTTGATTAAAATGAAGAGACAATTTATACAAAACGAAATTCCCTTCCAAATGTTTTCCGATATATGGGGACTCAAGCACTGATGGACCATTTCGACATTTGCAGTAAAAACTTAAATATAAATATAATATAATTAAATATAAATTAGTTCCCACGTCCCTTGGATTGGCCACTTGAGCATAGCTGTCAACATTGAACATTGAAAATAAGGGAGATTTCTCGGAATCAAGAAACAAATGAAAATAAAAAAGATATTTAGTCCTATGTTATGCTATGACCCTGTAGTGGACACCAGGACTCAATTGTTTAAAAAAAATGACATGAAAATATATATATGAAAAAATAATGGAAATTTTTGACATATAAACATCGTTTTTTTTTGTTTTGTTTTGTTTTTTTTTGCCTGGCAACGCTTCCAACACGCTTGCATGTCGCGTGAAACTAGGCATCTCTGGTTCTATTTGTAGCATGCACGCGTTTGCGTGTTTCACGCAGGCAGTGTGCAAGCTCGAATCTGTTAACACGGGAGCCGAAATAAAAACCATAAAATGAAAACGGTCACGCCACGCATGCAGCCTGTGTGTCTCCGGCCAGCGCGCGCGGCGCTGCATCCGAGTATGAACCACTTCAAGCCGAATGTCCGAGCTTGTAGGTCTCACACAATCAGAACGTAAAAATACGGGATATTTTACGGCAAAATACTAAAACGGGAAGACAGCGGGAACAGAGATAAAATACGTGAGAAACCCGGAAAAAACGGGAGGGTTGACAGATTGCCACTGATGTCACTACTAGCCGTTTGTCTGCTAGCGTTAGCATCACTTCACCTCAGTGACGCCCACTTTGGGCTTCAGACACTATGGGTGACGTCACACACACTACGCCCAGTGTTTTACAGTCGGTGGGGGAGACACACGTGTGCGAGCGCTTCCTCGTCACACACAGCTCGTGCTCAGTGTGTGTGTGTGTGTGTTTAGATAACCATGACCTGATCTCCATGAAGCTGTACCAGCTGACGGTCCTGCGCAGCAAACAGGAGGACGAGGAGCAGGAGGAGGTTCTGGTTCCCAGCGTCGACAACATGGAGCTCCTGAGACGTGAGTATGGTCACATGATCACAGCAGCTCACGTGTGCGTCAGCGGTCCTTACGATCGACACGCCGGCGACTCCATTCTGTGAACATCTCCATTTGATTACAGAGATTCATTCGGATATACAGTCAAACCACAAATCATTCACACACCAGATATAGTTTGTGATCTACTAGTGTGATCGGGACACTACAGCTCATAAAGTGACGAGAGCAAAATAAAGTAAACTGACGTATTACACCCAAATATTCCTCATCCAGTGACATTAATAATCATTCAGGAGCAGAAGTGACTCCTCCACTTTGAGCTGATGATGTTCTGCTGAAGTGTGTTTTCTGTAAGTGCTAATGCTCTTTTACACACACACTGAACAACATGAAGCATTGCTTGGTCACTGGTTGAGCTAAACTGCTATTATCTAAATTTACCAGCTGACAGATATTCAACATAATTCATGTGTGAGAGTCCAACAGAAGGACAAAACCAGTCAAATGTCCACTGATTTAAACCAGTCTGCGGCTGAAACGCTGATGGATGGATTATACGAGACATGATTGATTTCAGGAAGTTGTTCTGCATCTTTAATCATTCCTTCTGAAGCTCGCTGATGTTTATTTGCTGCTGTAACTAGTACTAAAGAGGAAGAGCTGATCGGTTCATCATCACACACACACACACACACACACACACACACTGACTGACTTTACTGATGAAACTGACAGGATTGAGAGCTGATTGTATGGCGGGAGCTACAGATGTTTGAGAAGTTTTGTCCACACATCACCTGACTGAGTGTGTGTGTGTGTGTGTGTGTGTCTCCAGCGTACGCAGACGAGGAGGGCATGAGCAGCATCAGTATCTTCTTCTGTGTGCTCTTCTCCATGCTGGGAGTGTTTCTGCTGGTGGTGGTGGGACTGGTTCTGTACGGGCACTGGAGCGAAAGCCGGCGCAAGCGTTTCTACTGACACACACACACACACACACACACACACTCTGTTGAGGCTAATAACCTCAGCAATGAACAATCGACCTGTCGTCATGATGATGACGATGATGAAGATGTGATGGGCATCACGAGTCTCGGATGTGAATGTCTTTCTCAAACTCCTGCTGCCTTCATTCTTTCCTCCAGTGCTATATTTATTGTATATTATATATTTATTAATTGTTTGTACAGGACGTCTAACATCTTGTCATCTGTCCAGATTCAGATGGGAAATGTGAGGAGCCCATGGAATCAGAATTAACGTTTTGTTGATTTTTGTCTCTCTGTTATCTGTACGCCACTGTTGAGTCACTGGTGATTCACACACACACACACACACACACACACACACACACACACGGGTAATCCGCTCAGGACACCAGTCCCGTCTGTCATGGAATCAAAGATCAATTTTCAGGATCCGCGGTTCATGTATCTCACATTTATAGTTAAAAGTAAATGTTGAAAATCTATAAAAACATGCTTGATATTTCCATGCATTATTAGGAACCTCTGAAGTTTGATACTGAACTCGTGATGGATAAGACATCTCTTCATTTACTGCTACACACATAACGGTCAGATGATTTACGTCATGCTAATGCAGTTCCACAAACGCCAACATAACGTTTGAGTCTATTTAAAAGAACGTTGTGGTCAATTGTAGGGTTAGTCAAATGGTATATATGTAAATAGGTACATCAGAAACACAGAGACGACTGAGTGCCAAAGCTGGTTTATTGTTTTTATTACAAAAATAAAATACAAATGACTATAGACACAGCAGACGTCTTACTAAATAACGCGTCAGTAGAAACGCCACACGGCTGTCAGTGCTGCAATTACACACCAAACACGGCTGTAGGTCTGAGCATCTTCATCATCATCATCATCTGCAGTACGCAACCCTGACGGACGCTCAGATGTGCATTACACACCTCAGCTCCACGATAAGAAACGAGTATGAAGTCCGAACACCTCGACGTGCTTTACAGAAGAGCTGGCGCTGTGATTCGGCTTGATGTTAAACGTCACTTATTATTAAACACACATTTGAACAAAAGAAATCATCTGACGCCTCAGGTTTCACAGTTCCTGGATGAGTCCATCTGAAACCGAGGCGTTCACCAACAACGGACAGTTATTGAGTTAGTACACAAACTAAGAAACCACAAACGAGCGCCGCGGGCGGAGAAGAGGCCGTCTGGAGATGATCACGCCGGACACGAGCGCCGTTGCTGATGCGTCCGGGTGTTTTGCATAGCCTAGTTAGTGAATTAATCTGGTTCTCCAGTGGGAAAAAGGCACAGAATCTGTAAACTTTGCAGGATTTGCGTCGGAGAAGTGTGAGGACGACACGTCCTTCAGTGCAACACACAGGGATGATGGGACACAAGCGCGAGAACGACAGCAAACATTCTGAAACATGATATTGATTTTAGCCCTTAATGCAGGAAAACGTCACGTGATTCACACAGAACCGTCATGCAACTATCAGCCCGAGGCCCTACGACACGCAGCTCGCGTCTGTGCTTTACTAATAAACTAGATCATAACGCTGAGGCAGAGTCATGTGACGCTGATGATGTCATTCACACACACACACAGGTTAACAGTAGCAGTGCGAAAGGCCACAATCTTCCAGACACACACACACACACACACACCTATGAGACGATCAGCTGATCTGCTCTCTCAGCGCTCATGGGATCTTCAGGAAAACACACATGCCCTTTACACTCTGTGTGTGTGTGTGTGTGTGTGTGTGTGTGTGTGGGCCGCAGTCATGGTGAGAAACGAGCAGTGGCTCAGTCGAGGAAAGCGTGAGGGATGCTGGGAAACAGAAGCTCAGAGTCTCTCACTCGTGATCGTTCACACAAGGCGCTCAGGTTCTAGTTGTGGTTCTGCTGGATCTTTCCCAGCGCTGGAACAGCAGCCGGCCGCTCCCTGACACCCCTCGGCCTCCTCCGGGCCCTGGTCCAGCCGGCACACACACACCTCGATGCCCGAGTCCCCAGTCACATGCCGGCGCCGGCTGTTCTCCTGCTCCGGAACCGGTGCGGGCGGGTCCTGTGGGTTCTGATGGTTCTGCGGGTCCACAGACTCGGAGTACGGTGGAGGAGGCGTCGGAGGATGAGCCAGAACCTCCTCATAGTCCGGCAGCTTACAGTCCGTCCACAAGCCTGGAGAAACACACACACACACACTCGGATCAGAAGGTCTGAGGTCCGATTCATGATGTCACACTACTTCATTTACAGAAGGATAAAACACATGCACAGCCGTTCGTGACGTTCTATTTATTTGAAATAATATTTACTAATATAAGGTGCGAGAGAGCCGAGCCGCGAGCCGGGAACCATGACGTGTGTGTGTGTGTGTGTGTGTGTGTGTGTGTGTGACTCACGCAGGTTGAGGGGAGCAGGAGTGATGAAGGAACTGGACGCCCCCTGATAGGCCATCAGGCTGATCTCTCGCTGTCTCTGCTCCTGCTGGAGTCGCATCTTCACCCGCCGGTGTCTGTACGCACAGCAGCAGCTCAGCATGATGATGAGGGTCCACACCAGCCAGAACCCTAAACACACACACTTTTTAAAATTATACATTCTTATTATCCAAATCAGTTAGACAATCAATTAGGCCGAATAGATTTGGTCATCCAGAACCAGGAACACCTCCTATGGCACCTGATGCACTAGCTTCATCATAAGAAGAATGGCATCTATGCTAAAGTTAGTCTTTCTGTTTGTTGCGAGGTTTACTGTAATCAATCAGCCAGATCTACAACGCATAAAGTAGTCAGTTTATTTTCCTGTTATCTTTTTTAAAGCTGCTTTGAAACAATCTGCACTGTAAAAAGCGCTATATAAATAAAGGTGACTTGACACACACATCAGAGCGGTGGAAGACGAGTTCAGTGTGTATCTCCTCATCAACATCAATGTTTCAAACATGTCATGTTCATGATCTCGTGTGATTGAGAAACTTCATGGAATATTTGTACTTTCAAAAATCATTTGTCACATGACCATTCAAAATTAACTAGTGACACAAAAGGTGGTAAAACATGATCCGTCACATCACCAGTACGATTACTCTCATGCCAATACACACACAGGCTTTGACATGAAACCTTGGAGTGTCTATTTGAAGAACTGACAGATACACTGAGAAAATGTGTGTGTGTGTAACAGATGTATCTGCAGTTGTGTGTTTGTGAGTGTATCAGATTAATCTGTAGGTGTGTATCAGACGTATCTGCAGGTGTGTGTTTGTGTAACTCACACCACAGCTCATAATAGTAAGTGCAGCACTCGGTCTCCCCACAGCAGTAGCCCATCTCACAGCGGTACTGTTCATTGTTCACGCCGAAACAAAACTCCTTCCCCTGCAAACAAACACAAGCATTCAGCGACACACACACACACACAAGATTTGGAGTCTGACAGAAAACACTGAAAAGTTGCATCCTTCTGGCCCAGTACAAACACAAATTCATCCTTGGAAAGCCACGAGTCAATAAATGCATATGAACCATTCTATCTAAAAACAATATGAATAATGTGAAAAAATATGAATAAAAATGAGACATAAATAATATTGTATAAATAAACAGGAAACACCACAGTCAGTCTTTATTGATTTGCTGGATCATTTACACAACTTTCAGTACAAGCCAAACACCGAACCTCACAAACAGGCACAAGCCCGGCAAACACAAGAAAAACACAACAAAACCTCAAACACTACAGACAAAACGATCAGCATATTCATATCATATGCTCAAATGTCTATGATTTCAACGTGTAAAACATTTATGTCGATTCTAAATATCCGGAAAGAAGCAGGATATCGAACATTATGTTTCGGTAACCGTGCTTGATGGCTTTGTTGTTTATCGAGGCCTCAACACTGCGCGAATCCCCGAGCTCGAGTTCTCGCACTCCGCGCCTCAGAGGCCCTGCCGCCGGCTTACCTGAACTAAACACGCCGCTGCGCAGAGAAGCCCCACGGCGGAGCACAGCGTCTTCTGCGGCATCTTTCTGCGCGTTTCTTCCCAAACTCCAGTTAATCATAAGTTAATCATAAAGCTTCAGATGAACAGGGGCGTCATGTCTGTGTGATGAGTGTGATGATCCACAGAGGGCAGCAGCATCACAATCACAGCAATAACACACACACACACACACACACACACACACACACACACACACACACACACACACACACACACACACACACCTCCATTACCCATTTCAAAACAATAATACTAATGAATTGACCTTTTTTTTTAATTTTTACGAAAGATTCTTTTATATTTGCATTTGGTCATATATTTGAAATGTAGGCTAACGGATGATGTAAACAGGATGACATCAGATGCGCGTTCTGCGAGACAGCGGGAGCGCGCAGTGAGAAATAATGCTTCTACTATGTAGAAGACGAAAAACAGTATATATGAATGTCCAAATTCACAGATAAAAGAGTAGGCCAACCAGCAGTGGTGGAGGAAGTACTGAATCTCAGTACTTAAGTAAAAGTACAAATACCCAGATAAATATTTACTTTAGTAAAAGTAGAAGTAACACAATGACAACCATACTTAAGTAAAAAGTAAAAAGTACTTTATTTTAAATGTACTTTAAGTATTAAAAGTAAAAGTACTTGCATAACAATTTATTATCTTAATGTCTATTTTCTAATGATTAATAAAACATTTAATTCTAACTCATTCAACCTAATAGCCTACTCCTATAATGATGTTCAATAATGATGGAAAAAAACGTCACCATTTCTGAAACAAGCTTGCAATTAGGCAATATCATGCTTATCCTTACTATATGTTAATATGTTTGGCAGTAAACGCGATTCATTTATGGTGTAATTCTGAACCTCTTGGCTTGCCATAATCCTAACCAAACCAAACATATATTACACACGGTGTGTTTCCTATGCACGTAAAAACAAATTTTCGCGTATGAGTTGCACGATAAACACACTGCGTGTGAGACGCATTTAGTGTGACCGGCCGTGCTGTTGATGTACTGCCTGGTTGATATACTGTATCTATGGCAACCAAACGTCACTGGTGTAAGGGTTAGACCACTAGGGGGCGCCATCTGCCCAAATATATCTGCGTCTCATTTCACGTTAAAGGGTGCCATGTGCGTTGGATATTTACGCTTTTGCAAAAGCGTCCGATATGGCGCTTTAGGATGAGAACGGGCTCGACGGTCAGATTACGTTTTGGCAGGGGAAAAACTGATCAGAAAATGTAACGAAAATGTAACAGAAGTTGTAGAAATGTAGTGGAGTAGAAAGTATAATAATTGCTGCAAAATGTAACGAAGTAAAAGTAAAAAGTAGGCACTATTTATTGTACTTAAGTAAAGTAAAGATACGTGAAAAATGTACTTAAGTAAAGTAACGAAGTATTTGTACTTCGTTACATTCCACCACTGCCAACCAGTCTGGTGGCCTTCTACTTCCAGCGAGAATCTGGTGTCCATAGAGTTTGTGTTAGGCAACCGGTTCTGTGTGCAGAGACCCAAATTAAATAACAACGCTCACGATGGATTTAACAGTTTGTTATAACACAAATCACTAGAAAACTGCTTGTTATTGTACTGCTTGCTGTAGCTAACTCTACCATCGGGCATATTTTGTTGTAAACACATATTTAATCAGGCCCCGAAAATTCTTCACAAAGAACACAAATGTCCTTCTCGGCTGCCATAGTTGCAACTCTTGCGTCACCAACAGTGTGTTCAACTCATCACCGTTTCTGTTTAAAAAACGTTGTGCAGCGTTATGTCGGCTGAACGCAGACTGACAGATGCTCTCATCGCTGATGACGACAGTCTCTGTCCGACAGTTTACTGGTGTTTATAATATTAACCAGTTTATTGTAACTGGTGTTTCTCTTGAAGCTGCAGTTCTTCGCGCTGAACACTAGATGGAAACCTTTCCCCGTTCACTGCAGAGCTAATGAAGGTAAATCATATTCGCACACGCAATACAGCAGGACATTATGATTTATTATAATACTAGATAGCCTATATTACAGCAATCAAAATCAGTGGCGTATTTTCCACGTGTAATACTCGCATTAGTGATCAGTGAAGACTTTCCCCATTTCCCAAAACTAAACATTCCCTCAGTACCAGACTCGTGTTTTCCTGCAGTTTTGCAGATTTGCATCTTTCTCGCATTTACAATAAATCAAACCGTATTGGATTCGCAGAGTTCTCACCTTGTTCTCCATGGTTTAGCGCGAGGGTAATCACTCGGCTCTGCTCTTATGGGACATTTACATACGACTCTGTTTCCAAGACCTCTAATAGATCTCCAATACAATTTGCATTTATATAGCCCGCTCTCAGCAACATGATGTGCGTGTTGAGATGCCCAGCCTTGACTCTCGGCGCGAGACCGGACACTCGCGAGCTCAAGGTGACGCGGTCTGCGCATGCGCGAACACACACACACACACACACACACACACAGGTGAACGCACAGGTCTGAGACGCTTCTGCAGAGAACACTGCTCTACACGCTGTACTGTAAACGGGTTTTGAGTTGTTATTTATAAATCGTGTAAGTTTCATGCTTTCAAAATTAGACCTGAATAAAAGTAGCGAATTAAAGTCTTCTGAGTAACTAAACTTGCAGGTGAGTTTGATAAACCCGCTCTAAACTCTGCGTACATCGACATTTATTTAAACAAAATATTACCAAACATTCAGACACCAGATCAGTGTCGATATCTTTTTATTCCTCATCCAGTGACATTAATAATCATTCAGGAGCAGAAGTGACTCCTCCACTTTGAGCTGATGATGTTCTGCTGAAGTGTGTTTTCTGTAAGTGCTAATGCTCTTTTACACACACACTGAACAACATGAAGCATTGCTTGGTCACTGGTTGAGCTAAACTGCTATTATCTAAATTTACCAGCTGACAGATATTCAACATAATTCATGTGTGAGAGTCCAACAGAAGGACAAAACCAGTCAAATATCCACTGATTTATCATATTTTATTACAATTTTCTAAACTATAGTGAATAAACTGATAATGTGAGAGATGTTGAAGCTGTGTGAGTGAATGTTGCTTTGACTGTATTTGTCGTCTTAAAATAACTTTGTTTTCATTTGTAAGCTAGGTGTATTTTTGGCTATTGCTTTTATATTTCTCAACGCGTGGCAATAGTTGTATAATAACTGAAGTGTGTGTTATGTTCGATGAGTGTGTGTGTGTGTGTGTGTGTGTGTGTGTGTGTGTGTGTGTGTGTGTGTGTGTGAGAGCCCCATATAGGACGCTTTTGCAAAAGCGTAAATATCCAACGCACATGGCACCCTTTAACGTCAAATGAGACGCTTCGGTTATGGTTAAGTTTAGGTATGGTGTAGGGTAAGGGTTAGACCACTAGGGGGCGCCTTCTGCCCAAATATATCTGCGTCTCATTTGACGTTAAAGGGTGCCATGTGCGTTGGATATTTACGCTTTTGCAAAAGCGTCCTATATGGCGCTTTGGGATGAGAAAAATGGCGCTGTTGTGTGTGTGTGTGTGACTGTTAAACGTGTTCTCCGTGCGTCGCTTGGAAGAAACAGAAGTTTTGTTCAGTTATAAAATCAGATTAGCCTGTAATTTCTCAAAATATGAATCTGTATCTCACGACATTAAAGAACAATTCAAGATTATGATTTCAAACTAATTCAACTTAGTCGATATTTGAGTTTGTGTGCCGCTCGTGTCTCGATCAAACGAGGAAAACTCAGATTATTGAGGTTTAAATAACAGAGAATGAATGAAAGAGGATTCACTTCAGACAAACGTAGAGCTACAGGATTTATACCTAATAATTAAACATTTATATTTGAATATAAAATATTATCATTAATAGAAGACCTGGAGAGTAAGCCAAGCATTATCTAAAATATCTGTAAATAGCATATTTTTCATTCAAAACGGCAAGATTTAATAACAAAAAAATAAATAAATAAAAAATTGAGGATTTGCATCATTGCATATAACTGTCGGTCATTTAACAATTATAGGCTATATGTGTATTATAAAGTATAATATAGACTTGGAGTAAGCTTTTTATTATTTATTTAAAAACATAACATTGATGATAATGTTGATGCTCTCGCCTGTGCTGATCATCTGGAGCTGCTGATTATTAACACTCTCATCTGACTGACTATCTCCTGTACCTGAGTGTGTGTGTGTGTGTGAGTGAGTGTGTGTTTGTGTGAGAGAGAGAGTGCGTGTGTGTGTGCGTGCGTGAGAGTGTGTGTGTGTAAGTGTGTGTGAGAGAGTGTGTGAACTCTTCTTGGTGTGCTGATAAAGTCCTGCTCTTGCTCTGGAAGTCCTGCTGTGGCGCTGGAGTTTATTTCTCAGTCATCAAGGCGTTTTCCTGCAAACGACGAAGAGTAAACTCTTATAATCACAGTCAGGCAATCACCTCACACTCCTTCACACACTCCTTCACACACTCCACGCTGAGCTGTAAAGTGTGTGTTCAATCAAACTCTCTGCGTTTATAGTGTCATAACTGTCCCGCTGAGAGACGATCTGATAAGAGCTGTGAGGCCGTGGGAGATCTGACCTCAGGGGTCAGGGGTCACGGCGGGTCCGGCAGGGACTGAAGATGCTTTATGAAATTAAATATATTTTACTGTCCCTGATAGGGAGTGTGTGATGGACTCCATAGCCAGCGTTTGGCCAAAAACTGATACCTTTGAAAAATACACAATATATTAATAACCACTAAACAACAGAAACATAAACACAAATCCATGTTCAACAGTACAAAAGAGCTTCAACCCTGTGCCGTTTCTACCGCTGAGTTGTGTAGAGACGGTTGTGTAGAGACGGTTGTGTAGAGACAGTTGTGTAGAGACGGTTGTGTAGAGACGGTTGTGTAGAGACGGTTGTGTAGAGCCGGTTGTGTAGAGACGGTTGTGTAGAGACGGTTGTGTAGAGACGGTTGTGTAGAGACGGTTGTGTAGAGACGGTTGTGTAGAGACGGTTGTGTAGACCGAGAGTTGTGTAGAGACGGTTGTGTAGAGAGAGACGGTTGTGTAGAGACGGTTGTGTAGACCGAGAGTTGTGTAGAGACGGTTGTGTAGAGACGGTTGTGTAGAGACAGTTGTGTAGAGACAGTTGTGTAGACCGA